TATCATTTTTATATCTTTGATAATGCATATTTTCTACTTGAGCGTAAATATTTTTGCTTTTAATATTTCCACTGCAGAGGAGACAGACAGGGTGACAAGGGAGCTAGCATTATTTGGTGGGCGTTGAGGCCTGCACACCCCAGAGACATTTCACTGTCTATAAACACTGTTGTATAATTGTCACTGTCACTAAACTAATTTGATTTTTGCTTTTACCTTTGACATAATTCATTGATACTATTTTCATTTTTATTGAAGGATGTCACTGCTTCGGTACGCCAACAACCCCAGCAGGTACAAACTAGTGGCAACCACATCCACACAATTGATCAGAAGGTTTCTACACCTAGAAAATGGACCAGTCTGGACTGCTGCAAAGCCAGAGACTCAAGGTAGACAAGAAAAAGTGAAAGCATTTGATGAAATGCCAACAAGAAATTCAAATGTGTTACAAAGTGTTTACGATGCATTTTTTTACATGAGACGAAAGGGATACTTTTCCAGGCCAGATCTACTTGTAAGGGTAACAGCATAATATTAAACAGCTCATTAAAACTAACGAAAATAATTATATTAATCATTTTCTTCATCATCATCATCATGACTAATATAATTATGTATAAAATAAAAATGTATATCATTTCTGTTTTAACAGCCCTGTTTCCAAGAGTGTGTTGGTTGGCTGGTTGCCATCTTGCAATGAGTTTTAAAGCTGGATGCCCTTAGTAACACTTCATGTGTTGACCATTAGCTACTCCAGGTAGCTTCTTCCACTCTTATATAGGGTACCACAGTCATGTCATCATGACATTAGGTGGGGCTCTTTGTTGTCAACAGACGTTGGTTACCATCCATTACGCCTGAATGACTTCATAGGCTTTCTGGAATAGGCATTTTAAAATCTAATATATTACCATCAAAATGTACTAAAAACACAAAAGCTCGCATTATATTAGTTATCGAACACATTATTTAATCATCAATTAAAATATACAAAGAAAAAGTATTAAGATAAAACATCTTAATAAAATTACGTTAGAAGATGAGATCAATGGTGTGTTGGAAGAAAATGGCATCCTGTTGTTGAACTCTTTTTGCAACGATAGCAACGAGTAGTATCATGTGGTATCGTGACGTAACACTGTAGTACTCTATTGGAGTTTCAGGTATCCATATCTGGAGAGGATGTTCAAGCCCCAGGCCCCATCAGGCTTGTGTGCCCATACTGACACCGGTGGCTACAGGTATTTGCCAACCAAAGGGCCGACATGCCCAACAGAGGGTTTTGAACCATGGGCCAACAAGAGCCTTGGTTGGGGTCCCAGAATTAAAAAATAGCTTTTATGGCAGGGAGACATGCCTACCATCCTCTAGCTATTGAATGTGTAATCAGAAGGAAATATTAATTCATATGTAATGTTTATGTATATGTATATATTTGCAGTACTCATACAATTAATTATATATACTTCGTTACTTAGGTTCAAGAGAATGTTGATAAATACGGTCCAGTTATGCGGAACTTGCTGGGAAATGAATTTGTAGTGCAAATTGTGGATCCTAAGTTTGTTGAGAAAGTGTTCCGTGCAGAAGGAAAGTATCCAGAACGTATGGAAATAAAACCCTGGAAAGATTATAGACTGACAAGGAATATTCCTTTAGGGTTATTTCTAAAGTAAGTGTTAATGTTGTTATAATAAATTTATTGTATTTGAATGGAACTGTTACTTGATTGTCCAGAGCTCAATTCCTGTAAAAATCAGTATTTTCTTGTGACTATATATATT